AAACGAAAGGGAAGGTCGGGAAGGAAAGATGAAAGATGGACGGAGCTGAGGCTTCGCGCAGGCGGCCCCGCAGCCCCAGCTCCGCTGCCGGCAACCGTCCGGATGCCACGTGCGAACTGCTGAGCAGGGATTTCCTTTAGCACCAAGAACGAGACAAAGATCTCAGGAACCGTAAAACTTTCTGGTGCGCTTCATTTTTTAGTGTGGGTTTTTTTTTTTTGTTTGTTTGTTTGTTAGTTTTTTGTTTTTTTTTGTTTTTAATCACTACAAATATAAAGTTCTGAAATAAATAAGAAGAAACAAGGACCTATTTTGCACCTCCAAACACAGACACCAAGGGACCCTGCGCTCGGGGATGGGGAGCAGAGCTGGGTGATCTCAACCTCAGCGCAGAGGCAGAAGCACGCACGGGTTTGAATAAAGCTCGGGTGACCCCTTGACCAAGCCCTGGGGCACGTCACACCGTGATTTCTGCTGTAGCGGTGAGAAAAGTTGCAGACCGTGTCACCCTCGCAGGCTGCTCGGTTCTGTGCCGGGAAGATTGCTCCTGGCTCCTCTAACCAGCAGCCGCTGCCATGCCACCTCCAGACCTCGTCCACTGTTAGTGAACGAGCACTGGTCTTTAATGCAGTTAATTTTATCATCTCTTGGAGGGCCGGTAATTGTGTTACAGCCATGACTGCATGCCCAGAAGGGAGCATTTTCATCATCTCAAGTCTGATTTTCCAGGTAACACAGCCCAGAGATTCCACTCTCGCCAAACCTAATATTACTCGAGCTGAACGGACCACAACCTCTAAAAGCCTCCCCACCTGAATTTACAAAGCCTCCACCCCACCAGAACAGAAAGGGTTTGCTCTCGTGGTCCATCAGTGAGTCTGAACAAAGAAACGGAGTCAAACCTTTGAGTTACGGCTCCGTTAAACTCAACTGAGCTCTAGATGTTCAATTCCCATCCATGAGCATCAACGACGTGGCCAAGGTCTCCTGCCGTGTTTGCGGGGCTAAGGCTAGGGGTGGCTTGGGTTTTAACCTGCTTATTTGGTCGCTTACCTGGCAAAACCTCATAGATGTCATCCTCTTCCATCTCAATGTTTGGCTCATCCTGATTCAGGGTGGTATTTTGGGATGCTGTGTTCACAGAGTCCGAACTGTCCACGTCATTGTAGGGTTCTTCATCCTCCTCGTCGCATGGGATAGTGAGGGAGCTCAGGTCTGGCAGGAGAACGCAAAAGCGTGGTGAAACAGAGCAAATCGAAGTACCAGCTGGATGCCGGCACTTTCAGTGAGTTGAAATCCAGTAACAAAGCCTCTGCCACCCCACTTTGTGCTCACTGTGGACCTGGCCGGGGGTGAACTGTCCCCTTGCTTGGCCCACGAGCACGTGGAGTAGAGAAAATGGGATGGAAGCCGAGAATAGGCTAAACCTATTTAGGAGAATAGGAGAAGCCCAAGAAGGGATGGCAAATACCAGAGAACAAAGCCAAATTCAACAAGCTCCTCAAGGAACTGAGCCTGGTCCCGTTCCTGGGCAGCTGCCTATGGCTTCCAGCGGGTTTCCTCAGGCCTGAGTCTTGTCTCAGCATTGCTGGTCTCAAACTGGAACAACTCCGGCGAAGCCAAACCCCGTTTCCCATCAGCCAAGGGCAGAAGAGCAGATCTGCAACCCCGGCGGTGGGGAGCGATTCCCACCCTCTTCTCGCCCCACTTGGTGACACTTGCAGCCTTCGCACGCAGCTATCCTCAAAAAGCAGCCAAAAAGCTCTCAAGTCAAAACTAAACGCCCGTGGGCTCCAAACCACCGCTTCTTTTTAACCACCTGCTTGGAAGACCAAAGCCCCAGAAAGTCTCTTTTTGCTAAGAGGGGACGCTGGGACCCCAGCAAGGTCTCAGCATTGCACAAGCCCACCCGCTGCTGGAAGGAGCAGCCCAGGCTGGGTGGGATGATGCTGCCAGGATCAGCCCAAACAAAGCGGGCACGCTGGCTTGGACCAAGCGGCCAGACTCACCCTTCAGGAGGAACTGGATCTGATCCACCCAGTCTTCAGCCTCTGCTGGGCTTGGGGCTGTGAACTGGAGAGAGGTTCACCCGTTATTGTGCTGGTCCTTGCGTGTAGGAAGAAGAAAAAAGATTTACAACTGGAACAGGGGATGGAGATCCTGGATCTGCCACTCTACCCTGTGACTTTAGGAAAGCCATTTCACTTCTTTATCTCCCCATTCCAAACAGGGAAACAGAAGCGGAACAAAGCTAGACTATCCCAGAGGAAGGCTGTCAAGCCTAATTCATTAAAATAATTCAGATGAAAACCACAATCCCCACTGAATATACCATACTGACTCTGAACCAAGACTCTACATCCCAAATCTCCCTGAAGCTCAGGAAAGCTCTCATTGCACACTTTGTGGATTGGGCCAGGTTTTTTATTACAGCAGTTTTAGGCTCTCCTCTGGATGCTCAACAAATTGAAGGTTTAAATTTAACCTGGCTCTGAACTGCTTATCTAAAAACGGGCTTTCCAAACCCAATCCTCTACTGTTTCTAACCCATGCTCTCACTTAACCCTCGTGCCCCACAAGTGCAGAGGGAAGGTCCGTGCTGAGACGATCTGCCAAGGAGGAAAAGCATCGGCACCTCCTGCGGTGCCATTTGGTTTGTTTTACCAGGGGCTTTGGAGATTCACAGCCGCCCTGAGGCTGCGGGTCCAGCCTGCACCCCGGACCCGGGAGCGTGTGCTTTTGCCCCCAAACCAGCACAGAAGGTCCGTTTCTTCCCCCAGTTCCTACCTCATAGGTGCGTTTGCCGGGGCAGATTAACTCGAAACAGCATCTTTTTCGAGAGTCTTTGCGCAGATGGGAAGCCAGCCGGGCGCTGTAGCGCTCAATGGAGAAGGTGCCTTTAGGTTGCTTGCCTGGAAGAAGAGAAACGTGCTAAATCTGCAGTTTGCGTGTTTTTAGCAAGCCGGCAGTACTGCTGGGTGACGCAGAGGTCCATTGCTCAGATAGGGAAAGCGAGGCACACCACGCGTCAGCGGGAGACGGCCAGAAAAAACCCTTCAGTCTAAGCATGTCCACCCCTGGGAAATCCAAAGGGAATATTATAAAATCTTCATGAAGACACAGTAAAGAGGACGCCCTTTTAAGCCTCAAGAGGCGGCGAGCAGCCAGCGGAAGGTTGCCAAGGTCAGAGGGTTGCGTGAGATGAGCCAGTTATAATGAAGCGGAGACCACCGTGTACTTGGGGAAATGCGACGCCAATGATTATTCTGCTGGTAAGAAATTAACGGGCTGGCGTAGAGGAAGAAATGCTTAGTGGGGCCTTTGAGAATTGGCCTACAGACCTTGCCGATGCACATGCACGGCCGGTGTCAGCCAGGGTAGAGAGGGGGAACCTCGCTGCAGTCATCTGAGGCGTCTTTATTTATCCCAGCTCATTATTTCCTTATGAATCTTCTTGACGAAGCGTGGGAGTACGGTTCAGGCAGCTGCTCTTAACCTTTTTTTGATTTGCAGATCCTTAAAAAACTTCCAGGGGTGAGGCCAAGCCCTATATAAGGATTTCAGACTGTCGATAACAGGTTTGCTTTACCCTGCTGTCTCCTGGAGACCGTTTGGAAGATGACAACTACCTGTCCCCCCCAAGAAACAACCAAATGTCAACCCTTGGCTTCAACACCCGCCTCTGCTAGCGGCTCCGCGGGGAAGACCAAAAAACAAAATGCCACCCCTGGGCTCCACCCCCCGCCTCTGCTAGCGGCTCGGTGGGAAAGCCCAAGCAGCTCATACCCCTGCGCGTACCTCGCCAAGGTGAGAGGGGCTGGGAAGCATATTTGGAAAGAGAAAGTGCTCGAGATCCTCAGACAAAGGATTTGGAAGAAGGACAATGACCCAGCTTCATCCCCATGACCCGCTGGAGTTTAATCCTGTCCTAGCTGCACACTCGGTCGTTGTAAACCCAGGATGTATGTGTGTATTCTGTAAGCCGTTAGCATGCCGTGTTTCTGGGTGGGTGGAACAGGGGAAGGCCATATATCTAATCATGCCAAACTCTGTTGGAGATATTAGCTGTCTGTTTATATGTACCTGATGGAGCATGACTGCAAAATATTTATATACGCTGACACATGGATTATATACAGTCACTTAGGGGGTTGAAGCCCAGCTGATGGCTAATGGAAAACTTCGTACATCATTTTATTTGCACACAGCTCTGTTCCTGTGTCTCTCTTCTCTTGTTCCACAACTATAAAGGTGTTTGGGGTGGGGGGGAAGCAAGCTGAGATCTACCTTTCTAGGAGAACCCGCACCTTACGCCTTGACAGGGAACTACAACCTTCCCATGGTTTATGCTCTTCTCTCGTCAGATATGAGCCTGTCCTTCAGCAAGGGCTCTCCCCTTCTCTCCCCCCGCCCCATCCATGCCCTCAGCCACCACCCGCAGTTTGGGGACGGGAGGCAGATATCTCACCACTTACTTTTCTCATTGGCGTAGTAGTAAAAGGTCCTTCTGTTGAGGACACACCACCGCTTCTGCCACTCCGACCCAAAAAAGCTGTGCTCTGGGAAGAAAAGTACAGCAAAAGAGTAAAAAATAAATTAATTTCTGTTCTTTCATCGCATGCTTCAGACAAATCTTTAGGGGAAAGAAGACTTTTTTCCCCAACAACGTCCTGCAGATTCCTGGCATAAAGTTCAGGCAAGCAAATTTAGACACAAAACCTCAACCAAGGGAGGGAGAACCAGCCTGTCCCACCAGGCTGGAGCCCCTGAAAGCCTTCCCCAGCTCTCCAGGTGAGCTGAGCTGCCGTGAGCCTTAATCCTGCCAACTGGGAGGGAACACAGCTTTGGGTTAAACCTGCCTAATTGAGGTTTAAGCAAATGTCTTGTACTCTGTAATTGGAGCAAGCTAAAACATGCACAGGGCCAGTTATACAGCTCAGCTGATGGCCATGAGGAAAAAAAGGGCTGTTCTTGCCTCATACCACCTGTCATACAGTAAATAAATCAAGATAAAATCTGAGTGATGAGGAAATAATTTGTAGCTTTCACAGGAGTCAGTAAAATCAAGATAAACTTGAGGCTGACTCACAGTCCTTATCTTAACTTGCTAATGTGTGTGATGCTACGAACTACCTTGTCTTCACCAGGATTTTATCCTCATTAGGTATTGCCCGTTAGAAGGGCACATCTTGCCTTAGAGGACTGGGCTGCTGCTTAATTCAATTTCTGGGGTTTAATCCTTGTGCAGTTTGATGATCTGCAAAGGAGAATAAATAAGGGCTGTGCCCTCTCTGTGTGTATGATGCCTAAGAAAAGCCTGAAAGGTTCTGCATGTGCCTACAGACAAATCTGCAGAAAAGATGTATTTTCCTGTTTGTTCTTCATCTGAAAATTTGCATTCTTGCTAATTCTGAGGTGACATCCCCGAACTTTATGTCGTACTTGTCGGGCCTTACCTCGGGACCTCTTCTCCAGATATCCCTGCTTCAGAACGTTCCCCGTGTCCTGAACGGGCTTCGGTGTGATCTCCTCCAGTCCTAGAGAGAGCAAAGCAAAGCCAAACCTTGGGATTTCCCGTTCCCACGACGCATGTTCAGCCCCGTTCTCCGCAGACGAAGCCTGAGGGAGGCTGCCCGGCCCCTGGAGGTGAAAATCATGTTCTATCGTGATCTCACCAGCTGTTCCCAATCCTGGCTGCAAGGCTCCCGAAGTCCTCAAGGAAACCAGGACCACGACTCGCAGCTACGCAGACCCCTGCTCAGCCCTTGACCCCCCGGCCAAGGCTCTCCGGATCCCCGGGAGCCTTCGGCAGCAGTTGGGCTCTGCTCAGGTTTAGGGACTTGGAAAACCCCATCCCCTTGTCCGACGTCTGGTCTGACTGGGACCGCGGCACTTCGCGGAGGGGCTCTGGCAGAGGCTGCACGAGGCGATGGCTGCACCTCCTCCCCAAAACCGTCGGGGTCAGGGCGTCCCCAAGCCATGGCTGGCTGCTGAGGCCTCCCTCTCCTCTCCTGCTCATCTCCTGCCATCTCAACTTGTACTAAAACACAATAAAAAGTGACTAACTAAATGCCACTAGTCACCTCCCCTGTTCCCAGGACCCCAGGTCACAAAAGCTTCTCTTGTTTTCTTAGCGTGTCTCGCTAACACCCAGCTCTGGGCCCAATCCGTCCCCCGTCCCCTCCCTCATTCACGGGCTATTTTTGGGTTTGTGTTTTATAGTTTGCAAACTCTATAAATCCTCCGTAAGTGGGTCTCGGGGCGAACGGCAGACACAAAGACACGCGAAGGCTCGGTGGAAAGGCTCCCCTGCATCCGTCTCCTCTCTTGACTGGAAACTGGATCCTTCAAAGGTCAAATCCTCGGCTTGTGCCGAGCTGTCTGAGACGATTCAGGTTAGGGGAAGCCGGGGATACCGTGGGATTGCCCTTCTGCAATGCCCGGAGGACGCGGACAGCCCCTTCCCGCGCAGAGAAATCTCATTTCTCTCCAGCACCTGCCCCGCACAAACGAGCTCAGGCTTTTCTCTAGCGGTGCCGGGCATCTGCTTGCAAAAAGGCACATCGTCTTCTCAAGTCCAAGCCCCGACCCCTTTTGCTAATGCAAATCTAAATGTCATTTTATGGGACATTTATAATTATGAAAATGGGATGGTGCTGCCGGATGCACATACCCTGCGAGTATGAATATTACATTAATGTGCCCAACGCCAGCTCGCTGATCCCGCTGGCAGGAGCATAAAAAATGCTTGAGTGAAACTTTTATTTAGACGTTCGGAATCCAAGCCCCAGCAGGGTGACGGAGGCAGCCCCGGCGAGATCCCATCAGCGCGAGCGCTCGAATTGAATTACCCAGGGGGGAAGGCAGGAGCTGCGAGTGCTGCTTCGCTTATTTAATTTCATTTACTGTCAGTACATTATCAGCATGGGGCTTCCCTCTGCCCCCGTTCCCCCAAGAACACCGGCTGCAGAAATCGCCAGCGTGCAGGATGCCGCTGTCGCTTCAGCCGCGGCAGGGATGTGTCCGGACATCCTGGTCCTCTTCGGGATGTGCTTTCTGCTCTTTCCTCAGTTGCCAAGAGCGATTTGGGGGAGTGCAAGGACCCTTCAGGCACCACAAAGAGCGGCCGAAGCAGGGAAGCAGCACGGAGGCGATGGGAGCCGGGAACAACCTCTTCCAGCCCCGCACCTTCTTTCTTCGCCCGCCA